CCCTCCCCCACCTCCCCCACCTCCTCGGCAACCTCGTCGACTCGCCGGTTCGTTCTAGTTTCCGTGGCGGCACGAGGGCCTGGCCTGATCGCTGAGGGGTTGCTTGTCCACGCTGCTCGGCTGCAGAGGGGGTAATGATTTGGGTGGCTTCCCACCGGCCGGGTAAAGTCCGGCAATTTTATGAGAGTAAAAACCTCTTTGCCATCCTCCCCTACCCCCTTTACCTACCCCTCAGATTCCCTGCTGTCTCTTTGACTGTCTGCCGCCTGCCACTACCCAAATATACGAGAGGAAACAGTAAAGTGGAACCAAACACGCGACCTGGATCCACCTATATTGTTTGTTTTAAAAAATGTCCTGTTTTCGTTTGTGAAGCCACAAGCCACGGACTCTTCAGCCCCTCTGCCGAGTTGTCAGCTGTCCCCCGTCCTGTCCGTCCTGTCCGGGCTGTCCGGCGCGCCTGTTCGCCCTCGCTGTCTTGCTCTGGCTACCCCGGGCGGGGCTTTTGACGCGCACCACCCCAACGGCCCAACAAACATTATTTTCACTCTCACACAAACATTTCTTTTCTCTCATAGAGGCTTTCGCGCGCCCTTTACACGCAGTTGCTTCTCCTCTACCTTAACGCTTCCCTTCGCCTCCTCTACTAAACCCGTACTATTTTGTGAACGTTTTCTAAAAGGCCAGACCTGTCGATGGAGATTCCGTTTCCGCCGCGAGTGACTGAGATAGACGTGGCAGGCCTGCAGGGGCGGACGAGGGGATGGAGGGGGAGGGTGCCCCGGGGCGGGTTCTTGTGCTGTGGGCGGGGCGGGACGTCGGGACGTGGGCGTCTGGGACGGATGCCGGTCCGGGGCGATCGAAATAAACGTACCAAATAAGCATATCGATGGAGTGCACACCCCACACCCCACACAGCAGCCACGCTCTCAGAAAACCATGTAGTATTTCTGTGAACGAAATCAATGACTTTACCGAAAATCCATAAAGTTTTTCGTCCAGGGAAAGAAACATTTCCTTCAGATTAATGAAATTTGTTCCATTTGACAAAACTTTTATTCTTTCTAAACAATGTTTTTATCACTCGAACGGAAAATATGACTCATTCTTGACACGAAGTTTTCGTTCCAGTAAATTAACTTTCTTTTCCCTCAAAAAAGTAGGTTTTCGGGTGCTGGGTTGGTTTGGTCGTACCGTGCGCGGCGCGGCACGCGTAGAGTGGCAGTTCAACGCTCCGCGCCCCCGTCAACACCATTGTGTGGGGCTCCTGCCCCTGGCGCCCCTGGCCGTGGAGCGCGGTGTACATCTCCCTCCGCCGTGACAGTGGCACGGCGCCAAAGCAGAGACTGAACAGTACACATCGCCGCTACTACTGTACTCACCGATGGTCAGGGTGTTGAAGATGGTGCCCACGACGGCGTACCAGAGGATGGTGCCCAGGTGGTCGAAGAAGAGCCGGTTGGGCATGAAGTAGCCGGCGTCCAGGATGATGGGCGGCAGCATGTAGAGGAAGAAGGTGTCGGGCGTGAGCGGCGACACGTGAAGCTTGTCCGTGAGGAAGAGCAGGAAGCCGATGGCCACCCCCACCGCGATCAGCAGGCACGACTCGGGGAACATCTTGCTCAGCGAGGGCGCCATGTGGAAGCCTGCGGGGCACAGACACACACAGGCGGTCACTAACACTGGCAAAAAAAGTTGTCGTATACCGGCAACAGGAAAATTTTCAATTGAAAACGTCGTACAATTACAACAATTCAACGTTGCAAATTTACAAGCACTTATGCGAATCGACTTGAAATGGCATGACGAGCGAGAGTCGGAGGCTGTGCCAGGTGACTGATTAACACGCACTTTCTGTAGCGCTACAACACAACTACAACACAATTTGTAATTGGCAAAGAAGTCGTACATGTGCGAGGATGTTTTCCACGGTAAAGTTGTTATTACGATACGGCAGGTCTCTCCAGGCCCGTGCACCGGAAGGTTCCAGGCCTCATATCACGTCCCCCCCCGGGCGGTTTGATCGTGCGGCTGCCCGTGCGGCTGTCTGCCTTGAGTGGGGGCTCCAAAATATTTGAGAGACGCGCATCACGCGGCCCCGGCCCGCCGCCCCGGCCCGGCTCTCGGCTTGGTCGGAATGTGGGCTGGATCCATACTCTGGCGGCGGGATTCAGCCCCATCCCCGTTCCCCCATCGCATCCGCGTGGCGTGGGGAACGCGACGAAGGCTGCCCCCCCATCCCTCCCTCCTCCGCGCCGTCCTTCCGCTCCCGCCGCCCTTTCCGCGCCCCCTATCGCTCGGATCGCGATAGCTCGACCGTCGCTTTGCCAGGCTGCCTGAGGCCTCTCTCTGGGCCGGGCCCGTGCGGGACCTGTCCACCACCACCTCCAGCGGCTAGGGCTACTGGTGTCGGTTTGCTTGCTGGCGCGTGGGCTGCGGCTGCGGCTGCGGCTGGGGCATTTACACTCCGGCGGATGCACGCCACTACAGCACTGAAACGGCGCTGGAGCCTCTGGGCCGGAGCGTGAAGTCTCATCTACAATGGGAGGCGTAGAGCGCAGGCGTGGATCGTGGGTTTAGACGTAAGCGGGATTGTGGGGTAGCGACGGCTAATATGTCATCATAGATCATTGAAAGTCATTGAAAAACGAAAACCGAACGGGGAAACCCTAAAAACCTGCACAGAAAACAGCCAAAACCGAAAACAGTTTTGAACGACCTGCGCCTGCGATCCTACGCTGTCCATTGTAGACGAGCCTTACGCCTGGAGCCGACTCGGTGGCAATTACATCGTGAGAGGCACATCATCACAGCTAGCAGCGCTCGAGTGGCGCTGTGGCGATCCCGCTCACCTGCTCCAAGGCCGCTTTAGCGCCCGCTCCAGCGCCTACTCCAGCACCCGCTCCAGCGCACGCTCCAGCGCCTACTTCAGCGCCCATTTCAGCGCATTGTCTTTTTCATTGTCAGTTTTCTCCCTACTGTTTTGTGTTTCGCTGCTGCTGCTGTTGTTGGAGGGGATGTCGCGTTTAATAATTCGCGACATATAGGGCGCCTGCCGGGTAGGGTAGCGCAGTAGCACACCAGGTGCGGCTGCCTCTCGGACCATACCATCGGGACGAGCTGGGATGATATTGGTTTCCACTGACTGCGCACGTGCGGCGCGGCGTGGCGTGGCGTGGTGCGACCCATCAAACAGAATGGCACGGTGTCAGGCTGTCGGCCAGCCGCCGGGGCGCCAGGCGCCAGGCGGAGCTGTGGAGCGCGCGCCCACACACACACATTCACACTTGTGTGCAGACGAGCGCCATCAAGATTGTGAGATATGTAACTGCACCGAAAAGCAGGACTCGAATGATGCGCGTTATATTTTTCACAACATGGCGTCGTTTATTGCTCTCGGCGATGTCATTTTCCAATTCACGAAATGATAACGGAAATGATTCCTTATTTCGATTCTTTTGGACGACGGATAACATCGGTCATTATTTCACGAACCCTGTGCTCTCCCAGTCGCTCCTCCTGGATGATAGAACTCTGTGATTCTGGATTTATTAAGAACTAAAGCTAATGAGGATTCAAAGATATGATAAACTCAAAAGATGCCACGACAAACTCCTTTCATGGAAGTACCCATAGGTCTGCATGGCAACCGAAATCAAAATCCACGCGGATACAGAGCGATTCGAGTTCATTAGACCCAGAGGCGCCAACAGGACGTGCAACCTGCACACGAGGGTTATGAATAACTGATTAATAGCTTCATAATCAACGTCTTTAGTGGTTCCACGAACAACCACCACCGTCACGAGCGCAAGCAGGCGTGCGGCGAGGCGCACCCGAGACCGAGGCAATTAACATTGGGCAACGCGCTCCGGCCCGGCAGGGCCTCGGCCAGCGGGAGCACGTTTGCTGTCGGCGCGGCGGGAGGCCCGAGGAGAGCTCGTGGAGCCGGCGGAGCCCGTCGTCGTGGACAAGGCGACACAATGGGCACCTCGTAAAGGCGCCGCCAGGGGGCCCGCGCCCGGGGCCAGGCCGGGGGCCGCGCGCGCGTCCACAGCCAGAGAGGCGGCCAGGGGAAACAAACTACCGACCCAGCCTCCCCCCGCGTTCGTAAATCACGCCTCGCGTTTGGACCGTTCACGACAAGCGCACGTGTGACGCGTCAAAAGTGTTTGAGGACCCCCACCCCAACACGCTGCTGCGAGTCGAAGTTATTTACCAAAGTCGCGCGCCACCCTCGCGTTGACCAATTATTATTTTTCTACGTTTCATAGTGTGCCCGTCAGCCATTCCCACGGGATGGCCGGCCCGCCAGAAAAGCCTGAGCAACATTAACGTACGCGTTGAAAGATAAAGGCGGCAGACTTATTTGTATTTTCCGCATAGTGTATGTACCTCCTGCGCCAAGGCGCGGGTTAGATTTCCCACTGGCTTCGACTCCTTGTCCCTACAACTACAGGCTCAACTGCAGGCCACTCGAAGGAAAACATGGTTGACAACACTCGAGGGCTGACAACGGTCGAGGCTTTCGCCGGAAGAATCTGAAGTAGCTCCCGCGCGCTCACCACCACCACGCTCTGTG